TTCCTTGCAGACAAATCCATGACGACTGACGACCACATTTGTCTTGCTTCCGTTTTAGTCCCAACATCTGCGCGTCAGCTGGCATCAGCAGCATTTCGAAATTAATCTGCATGCCTCAGGACCTCGTCGATCCGGTCGTCTTTAATTTTCTCGCTCCTAAGCAAGCAGGACAACAAACTGCTCTTCGTGTCCCACCGGACTCGCTTGACATTGTGTGCTAGGCATGCGGAACAAGAATGGAAGCACACTGGCTGATTTAATTGCCCCATCACTTTTCATTTTCCTCTGGCTGCGCACCTCTGGCGATCCAAAGACCGCTGCGGCTGAATGTGCGGTGGTCGGTTTCTCCCCAAGTCGCTGGGCAGAAGCATCCTTTCTTGCCTAGGTACCCTTTGATATTCGCCTCCATACGTTTCGTCTAGCAACGTCCGTGCAGCAATACCTCAAGCGGGAGGTTGATACTTGCCTGTTTGTGGTGTCGCCTTACGCTCCAACTGACTGCAGCTCTGGTACCATCAAAGAATACCGTGTTATGGTGGGCTCAGAGCTCAGATGTCGTTATTGCCAGATATCTGAATACGCAAGTAGGCAGGCTTAACACATTTGGGACTCAGTTTGGTGGTTGAATTGGCTTGAAATCGGTACGTACGTTCAATGGCGAACGAGTGTTTCAGTTGTGGCATTACCGCAGGCTGGTTTTATGCAGTACTTCCAAAACAACCGAAGTCGTCTTGGCATATGGTGTCCTCCAGCAGCGTGCCAGCCACGAACTCCAGTTGGTCACGTCACCGTCAGATGTCAGTGATGCGACAAATATCTGACTACCACTCGTTTTGGAGCACTCTTGTAGATTCTCGCCACGCGCTCGTCCGAAGTCGCCTCTCTCTTCGTTTTCACGGGCCACGTACGTGGAAGATAGCTCGTTCAGCAACTGAGAGACTGACAGATCCCGAAGTTAGACGAATTTATTGGAACCATTGTCCAGATTCTTTTTCAGCTGCTCCACCGCCAGACGTCAGTCAGCGCTGCAGCGAGATCGCCAGTTTCGCTCCTGGTATGTTGCCACCAGGCTCACTGAAGCACTGGATATCAAACAGACCAGTAACACATCTTTAATCTCCGAGAAATTTCCCCATAGGTCCCGAACGTAATTCAGTCTGACGAATTATCAGAGGTTAAGTAAAAATCAGAACTCGCGCCGACCGTGAAGCCTGGTGGGCACGGAAGGCTAGTGAAATGGAAGCTGCCCAGAAACCCAGACATGCCTGAACATTGTTTCAGTTTATCCGCACGACCGGTTCTCGCGAACCACCTGCGAGTGAAACTATCAAGGGCAAAAGTGACCATCTTGAATAAAGAAGAACGACTCGACCCTGGGTCAAATATTTCAACGACAATTATTTCGACCATCCACTGCCAATATTTTGGATTCTACAGCTGAAGTAAAACCCTAGACGACCGACCTGGAACCCCCTACGGCCTCATTCATTGATGGCCACTTATGTTCTCTCAGACACGACGGAGCCGTAGATCCGGATGATCTCTCATCCACATTGTTGAAAGAACTATCTGGTACCACCCATGCTTACGGGATGTCCGTGCTAATGTGGCGTGTCGCGCAGTTATAAAAGTAAAGTCTTTATCATTCATGTCCTAAGGGTAGCACATGAAGCGTTGACTCGGTAGAAGCAAGCAGAATTCCGGTCTTGTATTGGTTGCATTGATCACACATCCACATTCCGTCTAATGCTAGGACAACAACGTAAAAAGCGGCGCACAACTTACGCATTCCTGGATTTCCAGAGCGAATTCGGCTCAGCTGATTGGTCTGTTCCCCAGTGCTTAGGAAGTTTGCGAAAATGGCAAGTTCCTTGTGCTCTTAGACTTTCGGGCGTGAGTGTACGGAGGGCTATTTAAAAGATTCCATACGCGAATTGGTGTTCGTCAGTGATGGCCAATCTCTATTTTCATTCAGTTTTGTGATCAACGAGGTAGTAAGACAAACACTAGGTCTTCAGAACCCTGGTGTACTGCCAACGAACACCTATTCGGACCGGAATATGTAGACGACATTTTTATCGTCTTTGAGGGGAAGTTGCAAGTGTTTTGGATGAACTGGCCAAAGTCATTCCGCCGTTTGGCATGTGCTCCGCGTCCACAAACTGTAATGTCATGCTTCTGGACGTGCAGCCATTCAGCACGCCACGTGCAAACCACGGAGAGGCACTCGAAGTTATGGAGCGTTTTGCGTATCTTGGAATCTGTATTTATTTCGATTGAAGTGTGACAAATACACGAATCTATAAGACATATGTCGCATTTTCTATTTGAGATACATGTGGTGGCAAAGCGGCCTATCCCTAACCCTCAAGGGACGTGTGTATCAGGCCATAGTGCTGGCTGTTCTGTTGTATGACTGTGAGACTTGGCCTGTTCGAGCAGCGGGACTGAGACGTTCCCAGGTCTTCGACAACCGTTGTTCCAGGAACATAGCTCGTGTAGGTTGGTGCCGGCGAATCCTCTGCGAGGCAGTTAGAAAGCGAATATTCGGTTATGCAACGAGGACTTGAGTAAGAGATTGTGTCCAGAACCGGAAGCGGGGGTGGGGCAGCCATGTATTCCGTATGCTAAACCATCTTTTCCTGACGAGGGTGGTGTTTCCAGCGCTCAACTCAGAATGACCAAAGCCGAGTGGTGGGCACTTTTGGATGCAGTGGCGACTCGTCTTCCAGGATGAGGTCCAAATGATTCCCACTCTGTCTCGTTGGAGACGCTCCACTATCTGGCTGCCAATGAGTGCCGGCTTTGTCCATTTGTATCCTGATTGCCTCAATAAGTGTGTGGATGTGTAGACACCTTGGAATGGTTAAGGTAGATCAGCACCAGTTGTATTCTTTTCCTCACAATGAGGCTTTCATATAAATTGTAATTGGACGAAGGCGAAGCATCATTGCGGACCATTGATGTTATGCTATCGATGATGCTGATGACTGGTAATCGCTGCCTGTTTATACCTCTGATGCTCTCGAATTGTTCGGGTTTTGTGACGGATCAGGAGCTCAGATGTTCTTATAGTTTTCGGGTGTGTGGATGACCAGATAGGTTGACTTGGCGCCGCCGAGGCCCAATTAGGTGGCCTTCTTGAGCTGGAATAGAGACACACGGACGACGGCAACCGCCTACTGGAGTTATTTGATGACCACGGATGTCTGCAGTACTACCGAAAAAATCGAAGCCGCTTGTTAAATGGTGGCTTTCTCACATACAAGTCAACCTCCAACATGGATAGATCACATCATCACTAGTTAGATATGGTGTGGGTCTGTTACCGACTGTCCGTCCTACTGGAACACCTGTATTGATTCAGATGTGCCTTGCTTCTGAAAGCGGATACGATTCCGTTCGATGAACTATCAGACTTCAGGTGAAAAAAGGAACCTACCCATTTCGAGAGGCTTGGTGGTTTACAAACCTGAAGATACACAGGAAGCGAGAAATTATAGGATTGTGTGTAAATCGTTTCAGTGGATACTCGTAGCAGGTCGAAAGAGTCCTCCGGTAAGCGAAACAGTCACTGATAATGGCTCGCTCATCTAATCATTGGACAGCAGTCCTACTAAACACCTGGAGTTTCTCAGTCGGATTTTCGCCACCAAACACAGCCATGAGCAGTGAACTTGATACCCCTAACGGCCTCGTGACGTTGGTGTCCGACAAGGATGTATGTTCCGCCATCTTTAAATCTCATTGTTGAATTAATCGGATGAACTCTTCGAGACCCGTGTTCAGGTTTTTCTTAACGAGAACCTTGTCAACTTGGAATATGCAGATGATATCGTCCTCGTATTTGAAGAGGCACAGAGAGCGCAAGTATCACTGGAAAAGCTAACCAGGATCATCTAGTCATTCGACATGTGTTTCTCGCACACAAATTGCAGTGTTGCTGCGGGACGTACAGTCTCTGAAAACCCCTCTGAAAATTCATGGAACTCTATATCTACTTTGGAAGTTGCACTGGCTCTTACGGTAGTGTGACGGACAAAATCTACGCACGAGACTCCAAGACCAGGACTGCGTTTTCCACGAACTCGATTGTAATTGCCTTCATGTTTTCAATGGAGAAGTACTGTTTCGTTGTAGTTGAATTGCTGAATCATTTGGCTACTCACGAGTAGTTCGACTATTTTTGATGTCGCAGGTGTTAATGAAAGTTCTCGTCCGGCTCTTCCAACTGGCGTTCAGAGTACTTTCTATGGAGAAGCCAATGGAAAGTTGGCAATTAGTGCTGTTGATCCTCCAAGGTTCCAGAATGGCTTGTCACCAGTGGCCTGAACTGAGGTTCAAGATTTATGATTCCGAGGTATTCAAATTGGTTGTGACCACGCTCCGCCAAATATCGTGTGTAAATCTCGTAGGAATGATGTTGTTCTGTCTGCTTGATTTCAGTCCAGTTTCCATCCAGATTTTCTGAATAAGTGCCTGGAGCTTTAAACACCTAAACGTGATTATGGTGAGCTTGAACTAGGCTTCTTCCCCACCGACTTTTACGCTTTTATACCTTGCTTCACAATGATGCTTTCAAGTATGACGGTGAGTCGTCAGTGCTGAATAGGGATGTGCTGTCGATAATGATGTTTTGTTGATCTACCCCTTTGATAAGGGATACCTTACTTTAGTGCTCTGTCCCTCCGCATGCTAAATTCCTCGGGATCTTCATCAAAGTGTCGTCAATCGGGAACTCGAACAGGAGCGGTCGTACCGGATAACTTTACCGAATTCTGCTCTAGATACTGAACATGTGCGTGACATGCTCATAAACCTGTTCGGAGATGTGCATATAGGACTTTTCAATTCTAATGTTTTAGTTGTAAATGGCTCGTTGTAGTTGTCTTATCAAAACGAATGATAGATTTTACCTAGCAGTGTTTTTCTTTCCAGCCTCGATTATAGGCCTATAGTACTCGTAAGCTGGAAATCTTCCGTTCGATGTGAGGCCTAGCATGCTCAGTGGGACTACCTCGCCTTTCTCCTTAAGTAAAGAACTTCAAAGCCTGATCTCAGCTACACTGGATAATGTCATATTACCGCTGAGGAAAGAGTTAAAGCAGTCTCCCCAGTATGCCGACATCCTTTCTTTAGAGATTCAGGATGCAGAAGTAAGCCCTCTGCATGTCATTTCTGATTTAAACAAAAACAGAACAAAACCTATGAATATATCGCCCAACAAATATCCGCGATCTGTAACGCCGAAGAGGAAACCGCACACAAGATTCTTAAAGAGTTTCCCAAATCAGAAACTTGTTTCAAGTGTCTTGGTATTAATGATGACACAATACAGGTAAGCATTCTTTTGATGCGACCTAATTAAACATCTTTCAGGGGTTACTCAGGATCCGTGGACTAGGATTTTTGCATATACTTGAGATGCCAGACGTCGAGGTGAGCACAATCTTACAGAACTACGGGGATTCAAGGGAAGAAATCGATCACATATTAGCAGGGCTTACAAAAATACGCAGCAATATCGATCTCATCGAAAATGATCTCGCTTTTGAAGACGATACAAGAAATTTGATCAAGCTCGTTATTCGTCTCACCAAAGAAGATATTGATGGAAGTCTCAGTTCCCTAATTGGTTTGCCTCAGGGAGACAGGGTTTTTGATGGCCCAATTCCACCGTTGTATGTCACCGGTCCCGATGTTTCTGGAGTAAAGAAAGGAAAACAACCTGTACTTAGTTCACCGCTGAACTGTCCCTCTACTCAACTGTTCAACGGTGTCAGTGATTCCGAACCGTGTGACTCAAGCCGGGATCTGGATGAATTGGGTGTTAATGAACCCAATGTCGCCTTGCACACTCGCCCTTTTTCAATCACTCCTAAAGATCGCGACAGGCGATCCCCTGCTAGAACAGATGTGATCCCTTGTGTTGTTGGTTCTGCACCGACCACATCGAGCTGTTTGACTCAGCTGCCCTCTATTAATGGTTTCCGTACATTCCATCCGATTACTTCGCCTACAAGAAGTAACTTCCCTTGGGATGGGGATGTGCAAATAATCGATGATGGCTTGTCTGTTCCGAATACTCCAATCTGGATGGGGAAACCTACATGTAGTGTCACGATTTCACCACCATTTGTTAATAAGTCGGATCGATCAAAGCATACTCCAGATTACACTCCACCACCTTCACCTCGAGGTAGGCGATATCATGCAAACACCGTTACCTATCGTGCCCGTGATCACCGACAAGCGGGGACTCCACCCCCAAAGCACCGTTTGAAACTTCTGTTCCCTTTGCACCGAAGCAAGTCACACGAGTCCAACCTGGCGAACCGGGTAACTCCTACTACGAGTTCCAGTATTCTTATTTCTCGAGAACTGGGAAGTAGACCCTCACTCACTGGTGCTAATATGCTTTCCCCCGATTCTGCCATTGTTGCGGGCGATGCATTTCTTTACCAAGATATCACTGTTCTGTCCCCAACCTCCTCGCATGGAAGGTCAGTTAGCAGTTCTCAACACAGTCCTCGTTCTCAAGGACGGATGAGTTATCAAGGGACTTGTCCATCCGTAGCAAAGCCAGATGCTTCCAGTACGCGAAATACTCCTACTTCTGCTGTGCGGAGTTTTGAGTCATTTCGCCGCGTTTCCTGTGATGCACGGCCACCAAAACCAGGAATCCAGCCACCAACTTTGATGACTACTTCAGTTGATGGGGAAAACGTGATTGGTAAGCCTTTATTCTATTTAGCTCCTGTATCACAGTAGTATCACAGTACCACAACTGATATTCGTTGCGAAATCGTTCCTCCACGAGGAACCTCAAGCGCGATGCCACCCACCGGGAAGCTCGTAGTTTGCACTGACCGTTGGCTTGTTTATTGCTTGAGTAATGTGACAGTACCTCAGCCGCTATGGGATAGTCGTGGACCTAAGTGGTTCCACTACTGAGCGGACTTTTCCAGGAAAACGGTAGACCTTTTGATGGAGCTCCAGGCTTTATTCATAGAATTATGCGAGCCATATGTGGTTTTTCGGATACTCAGTGCTACCCACCACATACCAGCATAGGAGTATATCATTTAGTCAACTTCCTAGTCCACAATTATAGGTCCAGCTGATGTTAACTGCGCCTGCTGGTAGCAGTTTCGAAATCGGAATTTTCGTGGGCTGACTGTAATCAGCTCTCTTTCCCGTTGACTATAGTTCCATAGGGTGACAATGGCTGATTCACTTTTTATCAAAACGTTAAACCTGTATGTTCGTCCTTGTTGAGAATTTCTCGCTTTACTCGGTGATTGTGTTGGTCCTGAGGGGACCACCGAAGATTATTAGCTTTTGGGCTCAAATACTTGTTAAACAACAATACACCTAATGTTCATTTTGTGAATTGAATAACGGTCAAAAGACTATCCACTAGAGAAATGCTTCTGACAGATTGGCGCTTACCACGAGCTGGCTGGCTTTAAGAGGTCGATCGGGATAATTAATCGAATGTCCCACAACTTCACTCCTATGTTTGTGACTTTTGGCATTGTACAGAAAGTTGAGGCGCGTGTGTAGCGGGTCGATGTAAACCCTGGTAGTTTTGTTTAGTCTTCCAACCTAGACTTGGAAGTGGTTAGGCTTCGGCAACCTAGCGGTATCCCAGCCCTCGTACCTCTTTCTGTTGGCGAGGAAGCTAGGCACCGAAAAGGTGCCACAGCTGAACGATTTGATTCTCTCCGGTTCTGAAAAATCTTACCTGCCATTATCCAATGTTCTAGGCAGTGCGAACTAATCTATAACACCAGGCTTCCCCACTTGTGTCCTTTCGGCAAGTGTTCTTTCGCTTATACAGAAAGTTGAGGCGCGTGTGTAGCGGGTCGATGTAAACCCTGGTAGTTTTGTTTAGTCTTCCAACCTAGACTTGGAAGTGGGTTAGGCTTCGCAACCTAGCGGTATCCCAGCCCTCGTACCTCTTTCTGTTGGCGAGGAAGCTAGGCACCGAAAAGGTGCCACAGCTGAACGATTTGATTCTCTCCGGTTCTGAAAAATCTTACCTGCCATTATCCAATGTTCTAGGCAGTGCGAACTAATCTATAACACCAGGCTTCCCCACTTGTGTCCTTTCGGCAAGTGTTCTTTCGCTTATACTTACTTATTCACACTTATACCGCTTATACGCTTATACTTACTTATTCACACTTATACCAGTGCTCTCCATGTTGCACGGCCTAAGTATTCTTGCAGCAGGACGACTGTTTTGGTGTCACTGTTAGGTTACACAAAAGGTGTCCAAAGAATTTGGAGCTTGAAATGGTTCATTATCGGTTGCTTACCCCTTCTTTGATTGGTTCGCTGTCAGAGGTGTTCTAGAAACAGTTATCAAAACCATCACCCGTAGGTATCTTTCAATATTTAGGATACCACGAAGGCCGCAAATTTTTTCTCTAAAGAGCCTCTGTGTCAGCCGATATTTCTGCGCATTTTTTTGCTTGATCGTTTGAGTTGGTCATGTCCACTTCTTCAGCATATTCTGTCCCCGCGGTATTTGGATACCTGTTGATTTCCCGATTCGCCGTCCTTGTATAACTGCCTTTTGGGAAAGTCAGCAGTCCAACTCAGTGATCCAAACTTGATATACAACTGGTATACGCTGAAAATCCACCTTAATTAGGAGTAAAGGGAAGTTAACTCAGTTCCCTAACATCGTGGTGCCCAATCATACTCACATAAACTACGTCTCACGATCTAGCTTTTCCAGAGGTTGTAACAGTATTTAGATGCTTTTTCTTTTATGTGCTTTGCGGGCACCCTTAGGTTAGTCTATTATTTCTTCATATTTGCCGTCCAGTTGCCTGCTGGATACCCCACGTACAGTCGATTGACGTATCCAACTGTAGAGGTCTACGGAATAGTGCTCGTGTTGCCCGATTTCCATCCGTCTTTGTTCGCTCTCTTTTGTTAGAATGCCCATTTCTGCCAGGTGATAGTTTCGGATGTAAGGTTTTTGAAAACAATTATTCTTAGCTGGTCATATTTGTTCACTTCTTTATCACACTTTGTGTCCCGACTGCGGGTTCATTCGTCGTTTACTTCACACAGTCAGACTGGTCCCTATGTATTTCACTGCGTATCTGCCTTATTTTTTTCATGCCCCTAAGTTTCTGTGCCCAATAGCAAAACCTAAGTGGGTCTTCCAGTGAACCATGAATTCACTGAACCTCTGTATGTCGATTCCAGGTGTCCTCAATCTTCCGGGTTCATTCAATGGGGTCACTTTGGTTGTGAGCATCAATGGTCTTGTTCATAAGTGAGTTAGTTCATCTGATTATTCTCTTGCCAAACTGTTCGGATAAAGTAGCTGTTCTTAAGGGCCGAATTTGATCCCTTATATGTTGTTATTTTTTTGGTAAATAGAAGTGATCATATAAGCTCTTCCCTTCAAGCGCCAATATTGGACATCGAGAGTTGCATCAAGTGTTTATCTTCTATGATACTGTTTCATGCGGGATCACTGATACGCTAAGGGTTGTTTGGTCGCAGAATTAGTCTTTCAGTACATTCGGACTGCCGTTTCCACATCCACGAACAGATTTGGCCTTATCAGTTTGCGACGGTTCGGGTGTCGGGATGACCCGCTCATCCATGCTGAAGGTGCGTCACCGAACAAAAAGTGGAGAAATACTTAGAATGTTACTCGTATCAAATTATCATGGAAACTCTTATTCGTGTTTCCCCTTCATAAGCGATACGCCTTCAGCTGTCTCATCTTATAAAAAGATTGATTCTCAAGGTGGGGCTTTAACCATGATATAACCAATAGGCTATTGTTGTCCTTTTTCCACATATTGGGCACAGAAGTACCATAAGTGAAGCTTTCACGACTTACTTTTGGCGTCCTCAGGCTAAGCAAACCACTGACCACCGGTTATCAGATATGCAGTTAACTCGCCTCACGATATCCCTGATGGGTCACCCTGCTACCTGTTACCTTGTCAGTCAAACTGTAGGTTCGGGAGATGGATTTCTATGACATAGACAGCCGGGAATTGATCGCTGTTTGAACATCTAGAACGAAACTAATCGTGCCTCTGATCTCTTGTCTTCTCCCCATAACTCATTGAATTGGTTGCCATGCTGAAGAACGGAACAGCCTCCCTGGTTTAGCTATAGTTCATCTTATTTTTACAAGCATATTACTGTACGTCTTTTCTATACCCAAATTCATTACTGCAACTCAAGCCAATGACCTCAGTACTGTTGGTATCCCCATTTTTTCTTGACCACATGTTTCTGTTTTTCGCCGCGCACAGATTCGAAACCGAGTCACGGTTCGGTAACTTCGTCCGAGGAACTCCGTGTGCAGTCTGTTCCAATAGGATGAGCTTTCGGTTTCAACACTGCGTCCACTGCCGGTAAGACTAGTCATGAGTATTTTGCCCCGGTATCTTGTTCTGTCTTCACCCGTGTTAATGACATTTGATATTATCGGCGCAGCACCATCTTGGAAGTCGTCCGCCGTCCTGGCTGCCGGTGTGTTAAAGCGATTCAACCTTGGATGACACTGACTTGTGTCAGCACTTGGTATATTTTCTCGAGAAATCGCTACCCTCAACACCGATTTGTTTGTGCTGATGTATTTTTCGTCTGTTGTTCTAGTCTGCACTTATGGCCATTATGTTTTCCAACTCCTCAGAGCAAAAGCTGTCGCCTTTGGGCCTTTATCTTAATCATTTTGCACACTCCACTATGACTATACGCACTTGTCAGACTGCCTTTCGTTGCGCACAGCGCAAGTTCTTTGAATAATATCCGACTCTGTATCTATACATATAGTGCTATAGGTTGCATTCCGTAGCCTACAAGGGACACGATTCGCGCACTTATGTTGAAAGCCTGAACATGGGACTATGGACTAAAGGAAGTCACAGACGCAACTCTGCAGGATTCGTCAAACTGAACTAAAGTGAAGCTTCCACTGATGTCGGGATAGGCTTGGTGTTTCGTGTGCTTCTCTTTGTCTCCGTTTTTACTGTAACGGCAGTGGCCACAAAATCGTTAAAGTGAAACTATTGCCACCGTCTGCAGTTGCTTCGTTACGAACGGCATTGAGGGGTTGCTTGAAAAGTTGAAGCTCACTAACCAAGTTGAGGCCTAGGAGATCGAGGGACAGTAAATATCATTGAATTGAACCCCACTAAACGTCACGGAGCAGTTCAACCTTTCGGTCAGTTTCCTGTTTCCACCAAATGCGCCGTGGACGGTGCGCCTCGTATCTTCAACCAATGGTCCCTCCATCATGTCCAAGGTTCGCTGTGACATCGGGATTGTGCCCGAGCCTGTATCAAATCTGATGATAACCTGTTTATCATTGGTGGACACTAACAAATTTTCCTCGACCGGGTGAATGTGTTGGTCATGGCTCCGGAGTGCGTACCTGTGCCTCACCAATTTTTCTTGGACCGCTGATGTTGTCCACGCAGCATTCCTTTTGTGTGACTTTTTCAACTGCACCAGCTGAGCTGTGGTTTCACGGTGAGGTTGATGGCGTAGGAAATGCCATTCATCTCAAACTCAATAGGTTGTTGGCAGTTTTCCAGGGGTCCTTTGAAAATTTGACTGCCTTTTGGAGATTAATTTGCATACCGTCTCAGGCTGAGACGCTCATCATAGTATCAGCCCTGAGACTGACAAGACATTGACATTCGGTGGTATGTTTCTGAGGTGACAACTCCGGACCCTGTTCAACTAGATACAGTAACCGGTTCCGAATGTCTTCATCGTGTGGCTAGTCACAAAGCACTTGCATTGATGTTCGGTGATAGTGATAATCTCGGAGTGTCCACATCTTAAGTAACGATATCTCCAGTATCTCTCTTGGTAATATTCTGATACGGATGACGCATAGTGGACAAGGGACCCTGCTCAACAAATACTTCGACAAGGATGGAATCTGCGAAGCCAAGCTCACGAATGAGTTTGGAGAGTATGAAGGTCGTAAAACTATCACATTCACGTGTTCCGAGTTTCCTCAACAGCAGCAGAACTTTCCATGCGTCATCGAACAACAACATCGAACATGAACAACATCGAGTCGAACTACTTCTGTTGTTTCTGTTTCTCTCCAGAAACTGGTATCTTGTGTTTTTGATAGTCTCGAGTGCTATGCTAGTCCTTGGTTTGATCTTCCACCCACTTTCACGTTAGTGTAGTGTTTCAATATTAATAAAGATTGCTACAGCTGTATTTATGGAGTGTTCACGATTTGCGGCGTGTTGTTCGTTTATTTCGAGTGGACCGCCCCAGGACAATGCACTCATACGCTTAGAATAGCATCTTGCTCTCTGCAAGATATGTTTGTTTGTCGGACGTATTGGATAGGTTGCCAGCGCTCACGATCAACTCTGGTGCAATTAAATTGTGTATTTTCTAGGGTTGATTGTTTTTACCCATCAGGTGCTTCTATAAACGTGTGCATATTGGCCCCTGGCGACCAACCCACAGTTCGAACACTCCTGTCGAGAAAAACAGTTCGACTGTACCTCGAAACATGACTTCTCGAAGTTCGACTCTTGCGATTTGTCACCAAACATACCTTCTTTGGTATTCTTGCCATTAATCCCCAGAGTATCTTGCAGGATCACTGGAACAATGGAGTCCGGCCAGCATGACAAACTAGTTTAACGGTGTTAACTACTGATGAAGCTTGCAAGTAGTCTATTGTCCAGTGTCCAGACTCCGCCTCTGACGGAAGGTGAAGGTTACTGTGGAAACCATGGAAATGCTTGGCAGTATTCGTCTATGACTGCTTAGTTTTGGAAGAACGGCCAGGAAAGTTCAAGCAGACGCTTGAAACTGTTCTATTTTCTAAAACTCTGTGCACATGAGATGTTTACTTTCGTCTCTAATAGCTTGGCAAGACTGCTCTCCATCGTCTAGTTGCTAGTCTTCTTTCCTTAGTCCCTCAAAGTTCCAATGAAACGTATCGCACGGGATTACACTGTAGCTGGTTCCTTAGTTGTTATTGTTTGTCTTCGAAAAACGCCTAATGGCTTATACACCCAACTTTCCTCTCAATTCACGAAAAGTGCCCTAGTGGGGTCCTAAGGTTTGAAACCTGACTTTCGCACGTCAGCTATCTACGAGTGTTGTGAATGCACCAGTTTCACTGTCCCCCGAGCAACATGTTAATTGGGTAATCCGAATCACGACTTCAAATATCAGGTGATATTCCAGTTCTCCACTGATACAGTCACTGTTTCTGATCTGTAACTCAAGTAATGCACTAGCATCATTTGTTCTTACCTCAGGTGCTCAGAACTGCATATCCTTGACTGTACCGAGGTTGGATGTTTCACCGTCACCATTGCACGCTAAGTTATCCCACCTGACTATGAGAGTATATCTCCATCTAATGTCGTTTATTCCAGCCATTTGTATCACTCTTTATTGTCAGTATCTTTCCTTTTGGGTAGAAGACCCGTAGATCAGTGATTACCACAGACCCCAGTTGGATACAATAAATCTACACTTCGGTTAATTGTGTTCCTTTCTGGACAGGATAAAGGTTCACCGAGGCTGTGTCGCCCAATGCTATCGGCTACAGTGTGTGCCTGAGACGTCTGATTCGAAAAGTGAGTCACGCAACATGACATCCTTCTGTCTCTTTCATGCACTCGATCAGATATGGATCTTGGGTCACGTTTACCGCTATGGTTTTCCGTCACGGTATTAGTGTGATGGCACACACTAGAAGCGGGAAATTCTGTGCTTTTCTTTCTGCTTCAATTTGATCTGACTGGACTTGACTTGTATGCGAACCCAAAAGGGTGTTTGAAAAAACGGATTCCTTCGGTGTCAATTTAAGCTGTACATTTCTTTGCTGAGGCCACACCTTAATTTTATCGCGAAGAAACATTTCGGTATAAAAAAGCTCCGTTTGCATTCTGTACTGGCAACCAATCATTCAGTCCCACATGTCTTTCACCACCACATCGTTATAGTTGTTTTACCGAAGCTGATGTTGCTAATCCATGCATCCCAATAAAGGTTATCTCTGCATGGTACATCAGTATATATGCTCTTTTGGAATTACTATCAGCTTTTATTCGGATTCTTCCTTCTCTTTCCAATATTGGCGAAATAATAAACCATGTACTTTAAATATGCAGTCACGTATCGTGTTACTCATATTATTATTTTATGAAAGCATCATTCTTAATGTGACCATCTGTCGAAAACGTGGCTACTAGTTTGTTCCATCTTAATGACCGTAGAACTTCGCGAAGCCATTGTCAGTCACCAAGCTGTGGGTTTGAAATTTGGCCAACTTTTCGCGATGAAAATGTGTCGGACCGCGTAAGGCTCATCCATACTAGGCATTTCGGAATTCATCTGATAGCCGTAAGGAGATCGGTCACGTGACGTCTCGGTTGACACTCGTTTGGTGGAGTTTTCCTGGATGCATCCCTACTTCTATCGTAAAGCAGTATCTCCGCAATTATTATGTTACTAGATAGGCACTTAATGGTTCTCCTTTCCGAGCATAACAACTTTTTCAAATTTCGACTAAAGGTTTGGGCAAGTGTAAAGACATTCTTTAGCGAGGTAGTCAGAACCTCTCGGTGCTATACCGAATGACCTACTGTTGCTGAGCTAATTAAGGAATGCATGCTGCTACCAGGTAGAACCGAAGAATACCATATAGGCGGCTGCTTGGTTGATTGTGATTACCCTCAGTAAATTGAAACTCCGCCACCGCGCTTTATTGGGTTCTGTTCGTTTGGACACAATCGCTCCTCACACTGGGCAACATCGGATAATTAAACCTATGCCTTCCAATAACATGGGTCTTTGAAGAAAGTTTGTTGGATGTGGTCTCTGTAGATGGGTTCCTATAATCCTAAGATAACAGACTTTCTTGTTGAGACTGACATTAAGTCGGGTGGTGGTGGTGGTGGCGTTAGGGGCGATTGTGTTTTTTAGCCTTTGGTACCTTGATTGGAATGCAAGATTCCTGGTATCAATTTCTTTTCAGTAAAAACAGGGGGTGTCTAACTCGCCTTACTAATTTGTGATTACAGAACTTTGCTTTGGGTTATTCATTTAGTTGAGAGGTAAAACCTTGAGTGCCTCTTTCTTTTTGTGTTTCAGTTCTGTGGGTGTCAACAGCTACAGACCATCTATTCAGCTGTTGCGGTTTTTTATCCTCCTCATTATACCTTAATGGAGGTTACAAAGGTTATATATCTGAGACGATAGCTTGCACTCATTTAGGCACTCTCGATGAGGGGAACTTGATTGTTGTGAAGTTTCGCTTTTGAGCTCACATTCATTTGGAAGTTGGTGGAACTGCAAATTCGATGGAGTCTCTCGTATTCAATGACTTATGAATGGTTTTCGCAACGGATTCTCAGGACAGTCTGCATATAGTGTGAAAGAATATCAGTATGCCGTAGATTGTGATTTACTCTATCGAGTTTCCAATTCCAGCAGTTTCAACTTGTAAAAGGGCTCGTTTGCTTGAGACTTTCATTGTGGGTGCTACGTATACCTACATACTGGCGGTGATAGTACTGATATAAGGAGCTTCTTTACTAAGTGACTTGACTATGTTACTCATAATGTCCAACCACTTGTGTGACCTGCTTCACTGTCCCCATATCAGATGACGCTTAAAGACCTTGTTTGAACATATGTAGCGTGTTCCCACTCAATACATAACTGGACAAGGCAAGCTGTGCAGCACAGGCATCCATCATGGTCCATCAGCCCAGCCCATGAACTGTGCTTAGGTTGTCTATCGGATTCGAGTTAACTCACTGATATATCTCGGCATTACCTGTCGAACAGGGCAGTGCTGAAATTGTCGCTTGTCAGCTACCCACACTGGGCAATGTTTCTGATACATCGAAATGGATCAAATACACTGGTACTTTATCGTTAGCAGACACACTGATCTTATGACTTTTGGGGTGTCCTTTATCCAAAAAGCGTTTTGCATTCTATCGTGTTACCGGAACTAATCAAGCAGCTTATTTAGGTGTACTTGTCAGCCAAATCGATTAGCCATTTTCCAAGAAATAGGCTTGGGTTTATTTAATCCTAATCTTGCTGTATTGCTGTTTATTTGGAGCGAGTTGCCAAAGAGCCGGAGGCGTGTTATCTTCATAACCATTATCTAAAACCAAACACTGGTGGAGCATTTCGATCTCATGGGATTAAATTTCCGCACACGAAAAACAAAGTTGAAAAGAAAGCTTTGCGTGATACTACTTGATGTGGGAGAACTCCTATTAAGGCTTCCTGTTAACTATTTGCGGAATTTCGGTTGCGGCTTTTTTTATCGTTTGGCGCTGTCGTAATGCCTAGCCGCCTATGGAGTCGAAATCAACGTTCAGCTACCTTATAACGATCTTTTTTGGTCAGTGCAGGCAATGACCCTTTTCATGCGTTGGTCACAGAAATGCTGCTTGGATCTCCTCATATGAAGAAACTCAGATTTCTGAGTGGATACATGATTGCGTGATTGAACTGTCGCTATTATGGGGTCTTTCTTCCTCATCGGGTTCATCAAAGTTGCCTAGAGCTATTACACTTGCGTGTCACGAATCTGGGCTTCGTATTTTATCATGAAGACCTATATCAGGGTGCACCTTGTTTCCTACGGCTACTAAGTTCATATCATCATGGGTTTTACAAAACCCTTTTTGTGTCTTTTTTGAAAGTTTAAGTTTCGGCGGAATTTCACGCACCATGTCGGATGTTTCCGTCCTAAATGGTTTCCAGTACATAATGCTTTAACTGTCGAACGCAAGTCCCTTTACAAACGAATGAAGTTACAGTCATTGGTTTATACATATAGCAGAGCCTTTTGGTTGGTATCGACTGCTGACATACCAATGGTCTCATCCGATAGAGTGGTTTTTTATCAACCCTCCCTACATTTGGGAGGGATACAAAAGTGATGCTTTTCAAATCGCATCCCGTTCTTTAACAGCTGTGTTTTTAACAAGGCGTCCTGTTGGAACGTGACGGTTTTTTTTACAGTAGTTCCTACGTTACCCCAAGGCATATAGTTTCATCGAATGTCTTTCATTTCGCGGGCGGTCGTTTTTGACTTATCTTTACGTATAACATAAGGCCTTCAGGATTTATTCTAAACTCGCGACTCTCACGTTCACTGCAAGGGTTGACCGCGCATCAGCTACTGAGGGGAATGTTTTGAGCGAAAGCCTGCCGGCAGATGTTTTGAAAACTTATTATTAGCTTATCGCGTGTTTGGTCTTATCAAGCTCAGAAGGGTGCATACATGTTCCATACAACTGAATCGCCAAATTTAGTCGCCTTCTATCGATTGAACGCCGCCTACCACGTAGAAAACGGATAAAATCTGGTGAGCCCTGAGTATGATGAGTGACTGTGTTGCGGTGTTACTCTACAATTTGGCACATGTTTTCTGGATTTCCAGACAATTGATATTTTTTCTACTTTATTCAGTAAACTTCCAATAACACCGTTGTTCAGTTTCCATAAATCTAACGTCTTAAATGGTTGGTTGGATACTGAGTCCGGTGACAGAAAGTACCAAATGTGGCATCTACACGTTGTGGATATGAACAATGGTTCGAGAGTTATGAGGTTTGTTAGGCTTACAAGAGAAGTGTATGAGAGCAGTTCACAGTCTTACCCTACAGTGTCCTAAATCGTGTACAGATGGTTCACCACGACACCGTTTTCAGAGGATAGTCACACCGATTGCACCTCATTCGGAAGTAGAAACCTGATCTAAGTAAACAGAAGCAACTTTCGTTTCATTAGCAGTAACGCGGTGATCTGCAGACCAAGTCTTTGACATGGTTATTTTTCCACAGGGTCGACCTGATGAGTCATTGCAAAACTGCGGTTTAGGGTGCTGTTTTCAGCTCAACTTCCTTGTCGTTGATCTTGAATGACCAGTTTTTTCTGTCCTTTATGAAGGCTCACCAAATTCAAATCGCAAGGCACAGGTCAATGTCCCTGCCGGTTTATGTGGCCAACCAGGACTTCGGCCAACGCACTCAACACCCGCGTTTCAGGTGAGTAATTTCCTGTGTCCGATGAGGAAAATATGTGGAATAGTATGTAAAGCAGCTGTATTCTTGTCTGACAGTTCCTTTTCCATGAGTCGTAATCGCCATATTCACTTCGGTGTAGAATTCAGTACGCTTGATAAGATAAACAACTCAATCACGACGTAACTTTGTACCACTTTAAAAAGATTGTCAGAAATATGCATCCACGTGTGATTTTTATGGGCATGGCGCACGGAAATTGAATCTCGGATATGCCTGCATTTATCCGATATAAGAATACGATGCGAGCTACTTTGTGCTGTTGGGACCTCTCCTTTGGATCTTTAACTGCTCTTGTCTATTCTCGCGAAACCTATCATTATCATACTCTCGTCGCATTCTCCGAGTTTCATCGGTATGGTACCACAGTGAAACGATCCAATGCGTTGGTGCCACCTAGTTTAATGTTGAACCACATTAAAACACTAAAGTAGTTTAGCTTGTTCCTGCACACCGGTTGAGTCGTGTACTAGTTTGTACATTGTAGCAATACGCGACAGCTATTGCAGCTTTGTAATAAAGGCCCTATGTTGTCCTGCGTGCTGCGTATTGATAGGGTTTAGCACTTGCCCAAGTTAAGCCTCTCGAATTTATCGTCTTTCTTATCTTATATCGACTACGAAACTTTTTTGAAGTGGGCTTGAATTTCCTGTCACTCAATAAAATGGATGTGATTCGCGATCACCTGTTAACTTTAAACTTCAATATCCTCTCTCTTCCAGGGTTCCGAATCTAATAGTGCATCTTCATGCACTAGTTCAGCACCAGGCTCTCCTTTCGGAGTTGGCCCATCTGTATGCAGTTCTCACCTGTCGCCTTGTCAAGGGACCGAAACAGCAACGGTAGTAGTGTCACACAGTTCTCCACCGTACGCCACAGTGGGTCACTGCACCTCGCTTCTCAATACCTCCTTGTTGTCTTCCCCCGTTGGTGCGCATTCCTACGCAACTCCTGCGGCCTCCAGTTTGGGACATTCTCACTCACCTCATCATATTGGCCACTTCTCCAATCACTTCGAATTTCCAGGTTAGTGTTCACTTCTACATTGACATATTCAGCGTAAATAAAGGTGATGAATAGTTTTTTTTCATTTAGTACTAAATACTACTTGGAATATTCACCAGAAGCAAAGTGGTGTGTTCTTCTGCCTTTAAAGTTGTTGTGTATCGAAACGGGCTAATCACCCGTGACTTTGCTAACATCTTGGTTTCTTCCCCTTCTCTCTCTTATGGCATCCTTGCAGTACCGAGTCACCTTGCCAAAGATGGTGCACAATCCGATCATACCTGCACAACGAACAACGCAAGAGACATCCAGCTAATTAGGTGAGTTTTGTGGTGTTGCTTGCTCCAGAGAGTCCTTTGCTACTTATGCGCTTTAAGTACCATCGCATCGGTCTCATTCCTTGCTTTTCCTCCGTTAAGTTGGCGTTTTGGTAGTACTTGTGGACTTCAGTGCTGTATTGAATCGGCACACGTAGTCATTTTGACAGATCTCGTTCTACTCTTGAAAAAACCATGCCAAGAGCCGTGATCCTCCAATCTGAGCACTGGGGTGAGGCTTCTTTCTATGGAACACCGTATTCGCTTCTGAGACGTCTCTCTGAGTGCGCTGCACTGAATCCCATTTAAAGGATATATTATTTTATATTTTAAGTTGTCCCTCCATCCTTGGAATAGTGGAAGCATTATCTCACCCTGATGTTCTCGGAGAAAGTTGACGATTTCAGCTTACCGTTTTATTTCTTTCCTTGGTGCACTGACTTTTAAGTTCAAACAAAACTTTAGAAATTTTGTATATAAAAGTAGCTTTTTTGCAATATATGAGAATGGTTCAGCCGTGGTATTCTGTGTCCCTATAGCTACCATGTTTAACTAAGTAAAGATTCAAGGACTGAGATACTTCTAGATTACTCACTTATAGGGTGCTTACGAACCTCGGGCCTTTCGATCATAGCTCTGAATTACGGATAGGAAGTATTTTCTGTAATGAACTAAGGCGCCAGTCAGTGTACAGTTTAATTATACCTGTTCATCTTCGCGTTTCAGTACTCAGTCTTCAGCGGAGAGCGAACGAACTGTGGTAGACGTAAGTTCTTGCTCAGTTGATTTTTAACCCTGACATTTCCTCACTGAACCTTCCTACATTCGACTAGCATTATCATGCTACCGATCGCCTTTTTGTTAGTTTTTGATCTTGCGCATGCTTGGTTATCGCGAACACGTACGTGTTAGGGATTACAAGGTGGTCACAGTTGAAGGCCAAACCAACTAGAGGTCGGCCGGACAGCTGAGAGATATTTCAGTCGTCTCCATTCATATCTGGTCTCACTGTGCAGATATTTTTTCAAACAGAGTCCTTGCTACCTCGGTTTCTTGAATACCATTAATCTTGTAAACGCATCAAGAGTTCTGTCATCTTGTTGTATTTGGTGTTCATTAGGTAATACGCATACGAGACTTGATTCATTTTGTCTCCTCTGTTTGATTTGATTCATCCAATAACATGCAACCTCCGAGTTTATTTTACACCGTTTCCGTTTGTAATTTAGAACGTTCGAGTATTTCCTGGGCAATGGATTGTTCTGGGTGATTTAGCTATAGCCAGGCGTGTCCATCGCTTTCTAATTAGCCTCTGATAAGAACTGTTGGAGGCCTAACCATTTTTCGATGCATGTTTATCCTTAAGAACGACGTAAAACGCAAGACGTCATACCACACAAAAAACCCATAGTTGCATCATCTATTGATCGGCCGAAAACATACATCAGTCTATCGTCCGGTTTCGGGTACTTCGGGGAACATTCTTAAAGTATTTGTCTTCATTTTTAACTTTTGACGGAGCATGCACAATGCGATTCACTCACATCGCAAACGACTTGTCCTCAACTAGCTGGTATGTGATTCAAGATTTCTCACGAATATGGGTTGGCGTGCTCATCAATTTACGTTACTGGAAGCAGTTTAATTCGCCACATTTTGACATCAGTTTGTTAGTTATCCAGGGTCCAGCTTGTTAGCCAGTTGTCAGGGGTGATAAAACTCACGTACACACCAGAGTTAACGCATTCCTACCGACTGGTAGTTCACTGTCATTATTCCATGAATTTGTTATTCTTCATCTCTGGAGCTACTGTCTGCACATTCATCAGGTTGATGTTTTTAGACAGCAAAGTGAAACGCTACTATCTTTTGGCAAACTAAGCCTTGTTTAAACAATGAAACAGACCTTGAAGTTTGTATGTGCGGGAACCACCAAGTTTAGGTAGCTCCTCAAAACATTCACTTCAACGAACTTATTTCGTTTTTTGACGTCAAAGTTCGATTCCGAACCACTACTACATAGCTGTTGTTCTGATAGAGATGATAACTTTCCTACTAGCTGACCTGCGTCCGAAAACGAATGCATCGAAGACCGAATGGACGATCAGGCTACTTCCTAGGTTGTCTTCTTGGATTATTGGCCTGTACTGCTGACGACAAACAAGTAAAAGGTCGCCGAAAAGTAGATGAAACCAGTCACTATTTAGTGAGCAGTTCTACAGTCCACTTCACTATAAGAACTTTGGCTTTAATGAAAGGCAATCAGAGCGTTTGTTTGATGAGGATGAGAGTCACCTCGTCTATCCGATCGCTTGTCAACACACCACCACTCACTTGTGCTAGCATCCTGTCGATTACGCTCTGGTACTACGTCTGGTACTAACTAGAATATAAAGCATTCGAATTTTGAGGATGATACACGGTCAAAATTAGATACATCGTCTACAGTTTTCAACCTGTCAGCACCCATCATCATAATATTATCTACATTTGACGAATTAATCGATTGCGTCATCAAAACAGGTCTCCCGATGGTTTTTCTGATCATACCAGACCACCGCAACTTCCATCAAGGAACTATTTTTATTGTTCTTTTCATACTTTTGCACTCCAGGGATTGGTGCACACGCTGGAATCGATGGAAAGTCAGGACGAAACGGGTAATCTAGTGCGGACTAACAGCGTACGTTTGTTTGCTCGTCGCCTAACCTCTACCTGTTTTTTCACAAGCACCGAGATTGTTTGTTTGCGGAACAATCCATTCCGTGTCCACACGTTGGTGGACCAGAGACGAGTGTTCTTCTTGGGCGCCACATGATTGCATCGAACTATAATAATCTAAATACAACTACGGCGACATCGACCATTTCCCGATCACACGTTTTTCCCAGCTGGTCACGACGACTGACCATTCGAAGGCCCCGTATTAATGGGGCCGGATGTTACAAACAGTGGTTCTGCTCAACCGTAATCCTTCCCAGAGCGCAGACTCTTATCAGGGATATGACTGAATGAATGAAGCCATCTAACAGTGGATAATTTTTTTCGCCTGATTATGATCGAATGTCTGAAAACAAAATTTTCACCCATGCCACGTTTTCAGTGTATAGCTGCCATAGAACCCAAAGGCCGCACTCAGCTAGGTTGTCCAAGACGAGACAAAGATAGTCGGATAAGCAGAGCCACTGACTTCGGCCACTGAACTAACCCAAAGTCGGGCGTTACCAGTTCGACTAATATAACAATTCACCATGCAGTAGTAAAGATACAGACACTATGCAACTTCCATAAGTATATAGTTGCTATGATGGCTACCTAGGCTAACGCAGTCATCGAGTGGTGAACAACTTTGTAGGCTTTTTCATAGAGGAAACTACTCACAAGGTTGCTGAAAACTCTTCGACAGCCCACGACCGGTTTCGCCCTTCTTGGGGCTCATCAGGTAGGAGCAGTCCCCGAGTTTCCGTCAACCTTATGTTCTGGGCTATTTGATTCGATAAATATCCGCACCTACACACCGTTCTCGTTCATCATCATTATGATCATCATCATCATGAGACAGCAGCATCAGTGTTGACACTGATGCTTCACTGCCGTGCAACAACAAACTGTGTCTAATTGTATTTCAACCCCAAGAATAGATAGGAGAGAATGGGTGAGGGAGAGGACATGGTGACGGACTATCACAAGTATTCCCAGGTGCCTATATCTTAGACATACAATCTGAAAAGAAACTGACAACACTGCGCGTCCAGCAGCATAACTTTTTATATTCGAGCATATGAGGTGTTGGATGACCTTGATCAGTTCTCCTGGAAATAATTTGGCTTCTTTGGACGTTTTAAGAATATTAACAGTCGCTTGCATACCCCACGTTAAAAAGGATCTCGCTTGAACCAGACGGATCTGTTTTTTGGAGATCCCTTAAAATTTACTTTGTCAATGACGATAGTGAAAAAAAAGAGTGAACACCGTTGTTGGTTGGGAAGCTTTTGAAGAGCACCCCATACATATGACCTCACAATTGCGTGAATAAAAGTAGAGTACGATATTGACGAGCTTCCAGAATATACCCTGTTTCGCAAGTGTACCTTAGAATCGAGCACACTCTTATAGTCAAGGAACAGAAGATTTTAGGGTGGCGTCTATACGCATGTCGTGGCTCTGACAACCGGTAGATGGTGAATATACGGTCCACACAATCCCTTCCCGGCGAAAATCCCGCTTGCTGTTCTCCAGTCATATCCATCCTTATGAGGAAAAACAAGAGACGAAAAGGGTCTAACTGCACCGATGTCACACTAGTTTCTTCGCGGCGGCCGCTATCTGTGAACACCCTTTTTGAAAATGGCTGAGGATTTCATATTTATCACTAAGCAGAGCTGGTGAGTGTTCACCAGAACCAACAGGTTTATGGGCTGGGATATTGTCAGGGCGTCCAGACATCGACAGATGGCTCAAATACCTGATCGCAAGGCAGCAGGATTAGTCGGGAAATGCAAATGCATTGCCATTTTTAGCAAGCAAGTCGCCACGCGCCCCAATCCCAACCTGGAGCATCAGGATGCTGTGTTGTTCAGACCACTAAACATTGACCAACCTGATATGAGAGATTGTGAGTATCGCACGGACACCACCCAATATGGCTCGTTGGGTTGCGGAGGCACACAAACGACGACACCTACAGGCTTGTCAATCCCAGTTAAGAATATTGGTATTCAGACCACATACCCTTGGGTTAAAATTTCGTGGCCTACCCGCTTAACCTGCTGGCGCCAAACCTGGTCCGTTAATCTGGACAACCTGAATTTTGTCTTGGGATATGTGTATAAAGTGCTGGCAAGCGATACGGGGATCACCATTTTTCAAATAATGATTATATGAAAAAGATGGTGAAACGGAAACTTTCTGCTAGCCTCAATTCGCAACCTATCGACCGTCCGTCTGTGTATTTTATAGCTTATGTCCCCGGTAAACTTGCGCCTTCATAAGCTGCCATTTATATGACCTATCTAACCACTAAGTTGTTTTATGTCCTTTTCTCCGGTCACTGAATTCCAATTTCTGTTTGTATACAAACCGCCAGCCTTTTCCAAGTCACTCATTCATTACCAGCTGCTGACTAGTTCGAGCAGAAGACACAGGGATATCCGACACGTCAACTTGCAATGCATCAGGAGCAAGTAGATAGATTCAAAGTGGAGCCATCTCCGTCTGTTGCCTGGAAAAAACAGGAAGCCGCTCTTCTCATGTCCCCTTCCTTTAAAAAATGTCTCATGTAATTGCCATTAGGTTTTAAGAGCTAAAGTCAACAGCCATGCGAAGCATCTGGTATCTGTCGGCTGCTCTGCATCATTACGTAGAGTGCTGACTCATACATCTTACTCGTCAAGCAATAAGCAGCATAATAATCTAGACTGTTCTTGCTAAGTTTCTTTCCTCATGTCAACTCTTTTGGACTACCTTCTCCTCCAACCACATGCATTGCATCTTTTGTTTGAAAGTCTTCTTTGAAAGCCTTCTTCGTGAAGTCGGCTTCTTAATCAATTCCCAAGGGAAGGGCTTATTTCCATTCACAACCTTTGCTGATGGAGTTTTTAACGTAAGGTAGGCCAACATGAAATACTGGCTTTTACAATGAAGCTGAGTAATATATTATCTTCGGTCCTTCCTGGTTGAGTGCCACATAATTGCCATAACATGTGACTGGGAACCATAAAGGCATAACGTGTCACCAATCCAAGCAATGGTCAGGCTGCCGCTTTCTAACCGGACTGCCTGGCGAAAGTGAATCTGTCGATGTGCTGTGAGTGCTCTAATGTGCTGAATAGATTTCGCAAAGAATGCTGGATCAACCCCACTGATTGTGTCTTGCTCCGAGCACTCCTGAGGGTGGTCTTCCAATATCAAGGTGTAGGCACCTTGATCTGACTCATCTTCTCTAAGGACACAGGTATGTCTGCTAGGGCATACCTGTCGTTTTTATATTTCTTTAGCCCCCATATTTATTGATTCGATGATTGGGGAAAAAAACTTTCAGCACGCAATCTGTCATCCCCTGTTATTTTACCACGTTTTATAAGTTTGTGGCTATGGTGGGTGTGCGAAATGATACACTCCGCCGTGATGTTGTTCTCTTTGTACCCTTGAAGTTGGTTTGTTTATTTGTTGTTTCATTCGTTCTGTTGCTGCATCTCATACGAATCAGGTTGCGACTGATGTAAGTTTAGTCATGGGCACCGTCTTTTGCATGATCCGCATCCGTTTGCATATTGTTCTGGCTATTGGTTTATTTGCTTGCTTTTCCTTAGGCTTCACACATCTTCTGCTCCTCTTCTTCCTCTCTTGGTTGATGAACTTGGGTTAATGTTTTCCCTGTTTGTGAATAACAGTGAGTTTCACGGCTCTTGGGCTTGTGAATGGTTCTTCGTAGGAAGTCCTACCGGTGTTTTATGACTCGGTCCCTTGGGTGTTTTTGTCCGCCGATATCTTAAACTTGGATGTTTAAACTGTATAAATCCACCTTTGTGAAATTTTATTTCAGATTTCAGTTACTTTAAAAGAATGGGATATTCCAATGGAAAGCCTTGTCATTGGTGATGAGATCGGGCGGGGTACGTTCGGGACTGTTTACAGAGCAAAGTGGCACGGTGAGGTGGCGGTGAAACGTATTGACATCGATCCAGAGGAAGTAGACGCTGCGGCTCGTTTGGAATCGTTCAAGCGGGAAGTTGCGCTTCTACATAAAACTCGACACGAGAATCTCGTGCTGTTCATGGGTGCCTGTATGAAGCCACCCAATCTTGCCATCGTCACACAACTGAGTCAGGTGAGGTACTGGTGTAAAACTTCTTGATGGCGAAACCTGTCATCGTTGTCATCACATCGACAACAACCTCTTCCTGAGTATCGAAACCACTAACTTTTCAGTTTGTTGGAATGGAACTTTACGGTAGTTTTTTGCAGGAACAGTACTCTTTTTATGGAACGAAAGTACGTCCTGAACTAATATTACTCCAGCGTGAATTTTTGTTTCTTAGCAAAAAAATACAAACAGTGCTTATGAATGACGGCTGTGAAACCCCTTATCTCTACCGACTTGATTTTATGGTGCTAACTGGTGTCACGAAGTATTTCAGTCCCATAGCTAGTGTTGTAGTGGGATTTTCGTGCACTCTGAAGTATCCTGTCATTCCGTCGTTGCGTATAATTCAGGTGCAGATTCCTATGAATGTTCCTGGTTAACGAACATCCATATATCTCCCCGTAAAATGTAGACCATAGTTTCAGTTGCTCTTCGTCCAAGCTGAAATGCCTTATTTCGTTAAAGGCATTCATTCTTTTGAACTGTGGTGCTAATATGTCCATTGCTTTGGTTTACTAGCCCACTCGGCCCATGCTGTTGCCAAAATGCGATCCTTTCGTTACAACAGTCATCGATCGAATCACGCTGTAGGAATTTTCCATAACTGTCTACATTTCTGAGCGTAGAGCTGGCGTGTCATTCGTGTGAATATATTTTTATGATTGATATCACATGTTCGTAGTTGTCTCTGTGCATCATTTTATTGTGCTGCCATTCCATTGGATGTCCTTGTGTTATGTTTGTTGGAAGCGTTTTTGGTGACAGAGAATTTTCATTAACATGTGGCTAATTAGGGTTGATCTGAAACCGTTGCATTCCGTACGTGTGATTGTGGTCTTATGTCGTCAGCTACCTTGCAGCACATAACACCCTGGTTTTCGAGTCACCACGTCACCCTACGTAATTAATAGAGTGGTCACACGTACCATATGGCTATGTATGACTTATTTAGCCAAGTAAAACATCTCTTTTTGTGGGCTACCAGTGTTACTATGTCCTTGCCCGTCCTACCCGTTAGAACCTATCAACACCACCACACTTCCATTCGTTTGAAATTCGTTATATTTCGTAGAAAAGTCTATATGTTCGCAGGTATGTTTATGTTGTTCGGTTTCTTCACAGACCTTTGCCCCTAATCGAATGTTACTGCAATCCTAGGAACTGCATGATTTGCTTTTCACTTTTCTAAGAAGTCCTCATAGCGGGATTGACGAAACGTTGCACGTGCGGCTTTCAACCAATGTGACCGGAAGTGACCTTGGTCGTACTGTCTGGTTTCTTCATAGCCACACATCTGATACTATTTTTGATTCATAATGCATCCTTACTAATCCAAGTAACACCATTCCGCTGACTTCTCACCACTGCATACCACCGGAAATCTTGCCCTCATTTGTTGAAGGATGAGCGACGCTATATCCTGTCTAAGTACGATTTAACCACACTGCTAAACGGTTAAGTGTTCAAACTACTATCCGGGTTTGAGACTCTCCGGGGTTTCGTTAGATGCGCACTACTGATGACTCCCAATAAGCATGAAACAGCTGTACGGTGTTTCTCGGCTTTACAGCATAGGTTGGCTTCACTTACAGGGCGAAAGCTTCACAAAAACCTAAATATCCTCACACCACCAACAATCACTTTTATTGTCGCTCTATTGTTCCTACTTGGCGTTTTCGGTAACTTAACCGTCTTCTCAAAATAAAGACACCCGTTCACTCAGTTTGCACTGCTCGAGAGTGTTCCAAGCTGCGTGCATTCATGTACCGGTTTGGGTCGTTTGGATGACATGAATTTCACCTAGTGACTTTCAAAAACGATTGCACAGAGCGCCGATGTTGTCAATTTCACGACAATCGAAACTCAGGGTAGACGGTCAAACAGACTGCTGCATTGAATGATGGAGACCAGGCGCAGTCTCGAACCTGCTTGTTTGATGTAAGAAGGGCCTGTTTATCACTCTCGACCCTTCTTAAACGCTCGTCACTGAACAATAAAACTTAGACTAACTTGCCTGGAATCACTGAACTGTTTTTCCATCTACTACTTGATAATAAGCAACACCCTACAGTGTACCGTTAGCCAATGAGTGCAATCATTTATTGTGGTACGATTCCACGTGACTCAAAGAATTCACATTGATTAGGATACAATGCCAACAACCCCAAGAGACATCGATTCCCGGGTGACGCCAAATCACTCTTCAAAAGCGATACATTCGAGTAACCTTGTCGTATGTTTCTTCCTTTCTGGAAGGAGCACCTGGTGGGGCTTACTCTGTGTAGCCTATACATGGTCACTTCAAGTTAGGTTTAACGCTCAGAATAAAAAGTTACGGTATACCAACCACATACCATCTTGTTTGTGGGTTGTTTTTAAAGCGTGTGAAATACATCTAATTATCGGAATTTCCGCTCCCTCGTTTGGCTGTGGATTAGTTGTATTTTGTCCTGTTCGCTTAGCGTAGAAATTCGCAACCAATTCAACAACACGCAGAGGAAGCAAGAAGGTTGATGAAATGATCACAAGATCTTACGACAATATGGCCCAACGGTGGCCTACAAACGTGCGAACACCTTACGGATGACGCCATCAAAACTGAAGTGGAAACTATGTTCAATAGTGATGGACAGTGTGACATACAAGATTCAACCCAAGGATTGTAATAAACACCACACGGGACAAACGTGCTGGAGGCTCATCACCGGCTTTGGTGAACGGAGACCCTCTATCAGAAGATGCCATCAATTCTCAATCGAACACATGTTCGATTAGAACAAAGTTCGCATTCTACCACAAGCGATAACAATGAAATAACGCGAATTTGTGGAAGCACGGTACTCCAGTGGATACTCCATCGACAAACATACTGGGATTAACTCAGTCTACGAACACTGATGACAAGAGTACTCCGGACCTACAAAGGTTAAAACTGAACTAGTAACCAGAATAAAAGCCTGTAGAAGTAGAGGAGGTCGAATCCAAGAAAGCCAAAAAAGAGCCATAATGCAACGCAAACTGAGAATAGGCCAATCAAAGAAAAAAAAGTCTGCTGCAGAATGGGCCAAGATAACTAATTAATTCGAACTATACCGCAACGTAGATTGTAAACATATCGACCACAACCGTGGTGAATGCTCTTCAAAAGGATCAATCGAATGCAAGTTGTGCGGACCACAACGCAGCGCTTATCGTAAACAAACCAGCAAAAATTACGATAAATCCATTCCTCAATCATCCAGTCAATTGAAACGATATTGACTACCCTTTTAAAGGCATTATGAATGCAGGCGGACAAGGAGAAAGTACCCAACGGATCGTTCACTAGTGATGGCATTACGATTTTTAACGAAAGTTTTGCAAACGAATTACCAGGCTCGATGAATGGATGTGGATATCAGAGTAGTCCTGTATCATACAGACGGCGTTTATTACAGGACCCCCAGTAACTGGAGGCGGGGAACAATTTCATCCTCATACTACCGGTTAGGTATTTTATGAGGATTTGTTACACAAGTATCGGGTCCTCGCCTTTGTTGGGAGAGGATTTCGCGCCATGTGCGTAACGTGGCTCTTGCTTGAGATTGGCTTGGTGTCCTTGAAGTTATCAACTATAAGTCAAATCTCACATAATCGAATTCAAGTCGTCCTTTTTTGGGGGTTTGGTTTCAGTTTGATGGATAAACTTGAAATCTAGTTAAAAATTCAGCTGATTGAGAACTTCATAAACGAGAGACTCACCTGGATTCCAAATGAGTCTCCCGTCAAAACTAAATTGGTACGCAACTGAGTGTATAGATCGAATTTCGTGTAGTTTGGATTCAAAGGGGACATAAGGTTGACGGGGACTGTGTTTACCTGGTGAGCCCCGATAAGGGCGAAACCGGTTGTGGGCTGTCCAACAGTTTTCAGCTACCTTTCGAATAGTGATTTACTTGTGTACAATATATTGCGATTTTTGGAATATCCTACTCACTGAAACATGAGGCGGCTTGGTGCAGCGCGTTCAGTTGCTAAATCACGTTATAAACGAGGGATTCAGTTGGGTTACAGGTACGTCTTCCGTCGAAACCAGATTTTTATGCATATTAATGTATAAGTTGAGTAGTTAAGCGAGCTTTGTGGTTGCACGCCAACGAGTCATCCGTGTCAACACTGGTGTCGCTGTCTCTGATGATGAGGCTAGAGAGCCTAATGTATTTTCTTCCATTCATCACCCATTTGTACTTATTTCACCACTACACTTTTCTAGTACCCTCTTGTTGATTTATCGTGAACGGTGAAACAATTTTGTCGGTACTCTTTGACTATGCCCAAATTTGGTTTCAGGGTGAAACACTGTACGATGAACTCCATCACCGAGGTTCTAGCATGGCCATCAATCGAATCATAAACATTGCTACCCAGGTTGCCAAGGGCATGGGTTATCTGCACCGCAAAGGGATTGTCCACCGGGATTTAAAAACTCGCAATATATTTGTGGAAGCCAACGCACGTGTGGTCATCGGCGATTTCGGTGTCTTCAACTCTATGCAGTTGTACAAAAAAGCGAGGTGAGTGTACGGATGCATTTATTTTCTTGGTTGCTGCTACCATATGAACATGATAGGTCATATCACACTCGCACCGGATGAGTAAAAAATCCTCGCGTATAGTTGGCTGTTTGTTCAAGATGGACAGATATCCACGGGGACCTGCTATTGTGTTTGTTAACTTTTGCTTGGCAGACTATCTTGCATGGAGTGGACAAGCAAAGCATGCTCATAGCATTTTGCGACATGCTTCTGGCAACCGGAACCTCATTGTAGCAACCACTGGAAGCTGTTATTCTTATTACATGTAATATACTGCGAATTCCACGCCGTTATATACACTCAGAATTAACACTGTATTAGGTGGCCCCTGTTCACAGACTTCGAGACTTTTTGTATTGATGGTAGCCAGCAGAACCTTTTTCTTCGTAGAAAGCACCAGTATTGACATAATACCTCACTACTGTACGATGCTACGCTTACGTTTACACATCAACATAGGGGAAAGTGAAAAACCTAAACAGAACATGATGTTAACTCATCACAAGCGTTCTTACGTTTTTCCACATATCGGTTACCGGTCATATCTAGCTACTTCTCCAACCAGGTACCAGAGGGGTCTAGGAGACCCCAACACAAAAGCCATATTGTACTGGAATCATCCTCTCTTGTTATTTCACCAAGCCATACTTATTCCACTTCGAGGTTTACACATTCCTCAACGAGGCATGAGAAGAAGCATCGTGTGCATTTTGTGGTGCTAGACATTTGCTGCACAACAAAAAACTCGTCCTCATATTGCCTTGGCGCGAACTCGCGCCTGTGGTTCTGAAGCATCGGTGGTCGAAGTCCTGAAGTGCTAATAATCCATCCCTCACGGAGGCTGTCTTACAAGTATGATGTGAGCCTCTGTGGGTTTCATGGTCAAACCATTTGCTCACGCTACCTGAAGAGGTTGAGAGAGATAAATCTTCGCGCCACAATATTGTCCGACCCCTTACCAGTAAACTCTAATCTGTTTGAAATAATCAATTAGTTGATGAATACTCTAAATTCGCAACTGTCTCGTGCAAATTCCGAGAGGAATCAGCAGGTTTGTTTGATGTCCCTCGTTAAATTTGCTTTTGAAACTGAATCAATCCGTTGTCGATTCATCATCGCGCGCTCTACATAACGCTCTAGCTACCTCCACTACAAGCTTAAAATATAAATTGAGAAGTACCAGGGGGCCTTCTTGTCCCCATCACAAACACAGTAAACCCTTGTGAAATGAATCCTGGCTGAAGAACAGTCCACACCAAGGGACTTATCCGTGGGTCAGAGGGTTAGAGGGTTTCGTTGGTGTTTCTCCCTATACTGACTGATGTCTGTTATATTACGTTCATTGCCACATGTTTTTTTAAACGAACTCAGTGTCGTTTTTCGTTGTAGTTTATCCGTAAACTTGCAATCTATGTTACAGATGGGGTAATTATTTGAATGTCCCTCCATTTTGGCTGTGCTACGTGGCCCCTGAGGTAATACAGTCTCTCAACTTGAACTGTACCTCGTCGACCGTCTACGCTGAACTTCCTATGACCTTCAGTTCGGATGTTTTCGCCTTCGGGTAAGCGTCCCTATGCCACATGAAGTGTCGGGTCGTGTTTCCCTGCAGTATGTTGGTCTCGAATCTCTAGGCTGTTTAAACCCCGGGGCAGTCGGAGCTCTATAACATTTTTACCTATGTGTCTACCGGGTGCTTGTTTGTATTATTCGTATCATTGAAGCATATTAGAGATACCCTTATACAGTCACCATATGGGTCGGTTATAACTCTCAATATTCCCATTAAAACAGAATTGGTTTATTTCACAACATATACAAACCTGTTCATGACGCTCTACTATCTGCAAAAATCGATGATCCGATCAACTCCAAATAGCTGGTAATATGTGCTAAGTGTCAGTTAGCTACTTCTAATAAATGTTTTTGAAACATTTGTTCATCTGTCGAGTGCTTTGGCAACATGGTTGCCGCTCAACTCGAAGAAGGCGTGAGACAGGTACGGTACAAAGTGTTCTCAAGAGGGATTATACCTGTTTTGGACCGTAGTTCATTTGAGAATCACTGTAGTTCTGCACCACGGCAAGCTTTCCATTGGTTAGTAATTCCTCAAGTGGTCTGATCAAAAAAGCACAATATTAATGGAACCGTTGTTTTTAATCCCGAGACTAGTATTTATTGACGTTTGTGTGTATCGCTTTTTGCCAAACTACGGTCTCGCTAATCGATGACGTATTTTTGTCTGCTTCGTACCAAACCCGAGATATGTTTACGGCATCAATTGATTTCTTCAAAACTCGACATACTGTCGTCCATGAACGTCAGTGTCTATTTTTACCCTTGCGTCCTTCATTAACAACACCATAAACCACACATGGGCTGTTTGCATACCTCAGGCACACATTGATGGCGTGACGACAAAATACCTGAGCAGTCTTTGCAACAACAGCATCACGTGTGATGCCTTACAAGGCACGACTTAGACATACGGTCCACACGACTGCTTTATTTTCAGCTCACGAGGAGCTAGATTAGTGTACTGGATCACCTCACATCACGCAACATGACAGATTGACTGTCCTCGGCATGCATTTTCTAATGGGTAGGTTGTATAAAAAACAACCGTTTCCCTGTGCTTTCCATGCTCAACTCCCTATTGGCATCACCAGCAGGAGCCGCCTTGGTTCTTACAAATAAGCGTTATCTACACCTTAACAACCAACTCATTGTACGATAAGTTTAGCTCACGTCTGGTGATGCGTATCCTTGGGGTGCGGAATCAGATACGTTTGAACAGTATAATACCACCATATATATTCATGTATGTTTTTACAACCTAGCGTGGATAAACTGCAGAATTGAAAATTGTGGAAATTCTTCACGTGATGTTTGTTTAGGTGTTTCATGGACCTATCCAGTTCAGCTCTCTGTGGCACGCGTGCATTTTACATTTTCCTGAAATTACATTATATATA